CCCCCCCCTCCCGCGACAATTCTCTCCCCTCCTGCACTGTCCATTCTTTTCCCCTCTAGATCACCTTTCTCCTCGTCTCCGTGTTCACACGTCTTCCTCCTCTCCTTGTCCTCCTTCTCCTCCTCCTCCTCGTCCTCGTCCTCTCCTTGTCCTCTTCTCCTCGTAATTATTTTAGTTATTATTGCTTTTATTTCATTTTCTCACCAGAATGGAGGTCATTTACAGTAGCACGCAAATGCTTGGCAGTCTCCTTTTTTGAAATCATTCCCAATGAATTCGATCTGAACTTGTCAATGAACAAGCAACTAGTGTACCAGCAGCAGTACCCGATTTGTCTCGTCTCCCTCTCCTTCTCGTCCTCTCTTCCACACATTCCTCCCCTCCTCCTCTTGTAGATCGAATAGGGGAAAAAAAAAAGGTTCGTCACGAGGAGACAGCGCGTCTGCTTTCTCCCTCTGGCCAGCCGATCCGAGTGGAAACCGGGATCGCGACACGCGTCTTTTTTCTCAAGCGGTTGCGGTCCCGATCCCATTTCCGACCATGGGCTGGGATCCCGTTTTCCACAATTCGCTGCTGGTGCGATCCCGGTTGCCACCGCGTGTCGCGATCGCGGTTTCCACTACGGGCATCGCCACGTCGGATCTCCTGCGTCCTTCCTTCGTCTTCTACTCCTCCTCCTCCTCCTCCTCCCTTTTCTCTTTTTCTCCTCTCCTCCTCCTCCTCTCTCTACTCCTCCCTTTTCTCTTTCTCCTCTCCTCCTCCTCCTCTCTCCTCCTCTCTCTCCTCCTCTGCTTTCTTTGTCTTCTCTGCTTAGAGAGCCGCCGTGCTGTTTCTCTCGCTCGTCTTCTCTCACTTCCGCCCTCCCCCGCTCCCCACCCTCCTCCTCCTCCTCCTCCTCCTCCTCCTCGCTCTCTCCCTCCTCCTCGTGATCGTGCTCCTTTTCTTCTCTGCTCCCTGGCGATCGTTATATTTCTTGTCGAATTTTTCGCTATGTTGCTCGTTCTCGCTGTTACCTCTGTCCTCTCTCCTCCTCCTCCTCCTCTTCTTCCTCCCCCTCTCCTCTGGCCGATCCTTGTCTCCTCTTCTTCCGTCCTTTCTTGCGCGGAAGTGTAATGACATTTTTACTCAGCTGCTTCCAATGGAGCTCGCACTCCATTGGAAGACTGGAAAGAAAAGGCGCGGCCGCCATTGTTTTCACTAAGACTGCAGTTTTCACACATGAGTGAAAACGATGGCGGTCTGCAGTTCATTCAACAGTTGAGGGGTGTACCAACTGAGCTACCTCAGGTGGTGCCGTACAAAATGAGATTTTTAAAATTTTTAATGATTTCCGTACCAAAGGCGCGGCCGCCATTGTTTTCACTAAGATGTGAAAACTGTTCTTCTTCCTCCTCCATCTCTTCTTCTTCTTCCTCCATCTCTTCTTCTTCGTCTTCTTCTTCTTTCTCCATCTTCTCATCTTCTTCCTCTTCGACTGTGTGATCGCCTTCTTCTTCTTCCTCCTCCATCTCTTCTTCTTCCTCCCGCGGCCGCCATTGTTTTCACTACAATGTGAAAACTGTTCTTCCTCCATCTCTTCTTCTTCTTCTTCTTCTTCTTCTTCTTCTTCTTCTTCTTCTTCTTTCTCCATCTGCTCATCTTCTTCCTCTTATTCTTCCTTCTCCTCCATCTTTTCTGTTTCATCCTCCTCCATGCGGAGAAGAAATGTAAATCTGTTGATGCGTGTACGAGAAGCAGTCTATGGCCACTGTTTTCAGTATGCACTATTCACCAAAGGCGCGGCGGCCATTGTTTTCACTAACATGTGAAAACTGTTCTTCTTCTTCCTCCTCCATCTCCTCTTCTTCCTCCTCCTCCATCTCTTCTTTTTCTTCTTGTTGGAATGCGAGGTGGGCGATGTAAGGCCGATCTTGGTAAGACCCCTGACGAGGGCCAGGTGTGCTTCCTGGGCGAAACGCGGCGTCGGCCAATGTGCGCGTTTTCTAAGTATACTGCTTGCTTGTGGGAAGTGTATTGCTTGCTTGTTCATTCCAGGCAAATACGAAGAGTAGTGTTTGGCCTCCGTTCTATCACTCTTCTTCTTCTTCTTCTTCTTCTTCTTTTTCTTCGTCTTCTTCTTCGTCTTCTTCTTCTTCTGGAAGGTTGGTGGTGCGGCAAGGCCATCTTGGGAGAAGAGCCCCCTTAGGAGTGCCAGGAGCGCAGCCTGGGCGAAACGCGTCAGGGGAATATGCGCGTTTCTACTGAGAACTGTGGATGCGGAGATGATGTAATGTTTATCTGTTGGAGGATATGCTAGAAGCAGTCTATGGCCACTGTTTTTCACTCTCCTTCCTCCTCCTCCTCCCCCTCCTCTTCTTCTTCTTCTTCTTCTTCTTCATCATCGACTACCTGCATCTGGTTATTTCATTTGCGTTCAACGTTGCAATTTGGCCATTGCTTGTCACTCTTTTTCTTCTTCTTCTTATTCTTCGACTGCTTCATGTGCTTTTCGTACTTTATGCACGAACCTGGTCGTAATGACTCCCCTTATGCGTGTTTTTCGTTTTGGTCAGCCAGCGCTTATGTCAATCTCCCTTCTGTTTTGTCTTTTCTTTGGGGGGTCTTCAGCAGCTTCTCGTCATCGTTTCTCTTTCTTTTCTCGTTTCTCTCCCCCTCCTCCTCCTCCTTTCTCCTCCTCTTTCTCCTCCTCCTCTCTCCTCCTCCTCTCTCCTCCTCCTCTCTCCTCCTCTTTCTGCCCTCCCTTTGTGATCCGCATTTCCGTCTCTGTGCTGCTCCGTGTCATGATGCTC